GATTATTGGTATTTCGTCCAACCCTCATTGTGATCTACCACTTCAAGTTCCGATTTTACAAACTTAAGGGCCCACCATACCTGCTGTCTCTAAATTGCTCTATCCTCTATCTATCTTTTCTTCCACTAAGGTGGTACTCTCCTCAAAAGAGGAGGCTATAAATTATAAGAAGAAGTCGTAGCTAGACTATACCCTCCTAGCAATAATATTTATACAATCATTTCTTATAAAACTTACCTCATCACTAGCAGTCACTACAACAATAATGGCCTTATTCTATCATTCATTTTATCTTTTATCACTTTTTTTCTAAAAACAACTCAAAGTAGCCATTTTATTAAATAGGCGTGGCTGAAATTAATTTTGATTGGTTCATCATCTTATTAGATCCCCAATATAAACAATTCATAATTATTCATATTAATAATTATTATTTCGAAAATCAAAATACAAAAAGCAAAATCAGGAGATATATCATCAGCACATATATATAGTTTGATTCTATAGTCAGCACTCAAGCAGGGATATCATGCAGATGTACATTGTCATTGAATGACTGAACTTTTTTTAGATGAAGGTTGAACAACTGTACTAGAAGATGTAGTAGCAGGTGGTATTGGTATGGTAACATTATGGAAAGGCACATCAAAACACAGACTATTAATATCAGTGGATTCATTTTCGGGAAAGTTAGAGCACTCAAAGTGAGGCGGCCAATTCAATCCCCACCGCTCCCGCATAAAAGGTTCACAAGTATTCTTCACATGGTTACAGAGATCCCTGCAGGGTTTGAGCGTGACAGTTCCTTCGGGTCCCTCAACACAAGCCGGAGTGTACACTGCACAAAGAAAGTGAACGATGGCGTTAGAGCATTTATGTGTAACAAGAGGTTGAAATACATTCGCTTCGATGTTTGCTTTGCTCTGTGCCGTCCTACGTCCTTTGACACTGGGGAAGGAGGCATTTCCTGCCCATGGCACATAAAGACACATGGCCACACCAGTTATAGGTTGACATGTACTGGGAGGGCCTGGGGGTAGAGTGCTCACCGGGAGAATCGGCTGCCCCATAAATGTCGAGAGATAAACAATAGTGAGGAAAAGAAGTATTACAGGAGACATTGTGAATGTGAAATGTGACTGTTCTTTCTGATTACGAGTTTCGCTGCTTTCGCACTAAAAATTTTTCACACTAACCACCAGAAGTTGAGACCTGATTTAAGATGATTTCCAGTCTGAATCAGCCCTGATATCAGTCTGAATCATAGATTTTTGGCACTCAGTCACAATACAATAATGAAATCAGGCATGATACAATTATGATGAATTTTTATACTGGTTCAGGCCAGAGCAACAGTGATGATCAGCAATTATGCCTGTCAGGACTGTACCAATACTGATATCAACTTTATTCATTAATTTTTGGCAGCATTGCTGATTCAGCCAAAAAAACTCTTGGGTGCGTATACCGCAGAGCAATCAGCGATGAGGAAATGATGCCAATAACAACATCACTTCCCTTCACCTCTTAAAATTATTTTTCTGAAACTGAGGACGAATAATAATCTTAATTGGTGATAATCATTTTGAAAATAAACCCAATTGAAAAAAAAATATTAATATTTCAAAAATACAAGAAGCAAAATCAGCAGATATACCAGGCATATCAGCACACAGCAGATTGTACAGCTTGAGTCTATAATAGTCGGCATTCAGCAGTGATATTAAGCAGATGTACAAGAAAACGTATTGTATAGAGTCCCTTTCATAGCAGCAGTTCCATCAGGACCAACAACACATGATGTAGTGGCAACATCTTCAGTCAGTGCATTCATGAATGAGACGTTGACAGTTTCACCGGCTGTACCAACCATGCTGATCACAGTGATGTCATTCCTCAGGGTGACATCTACAAAGCGTGTATGAGAAAATGTAATTACTTTATCCAATTCTCCCAGTATGACTGTATC